AATGCGTGCGCTTTAACGCGAGCAAAAAAGTTGCGCACGGCGCGCTGGCACTATGCATAGATGACGGCGGTGGTGTGCTGCTACTGCCCACAAGCGCCACTTCCGTCGTAAGGGCTGCAGCTGTGGCGCATGGCTCCAGAGCCTCAACGATGAACAACCAATCAGACTTATTGAGACCATCTGTGGCATCAAATACTAACGTGATTGGATCTGAACATGTAAAGACCCATTTACATCTTTGCTTGCCGAAATGGGCTGAATTTGTACGCTGGCAGTGTGATGATCGCATGTTGAACCACCTGGAGTGGGTGGAAAGCGGCGACAACATTTTATTACTTGGAGTTGGCGAGAAACTGTCGATCTGGAAATTAGTGGACGATTCGGTGCAACTTTATCTCCAGCGCACGATCATTTTGTCAGGAGGCATAGGATCTCGTGTGAAGACGTCTCCGCCAGATATGGCAGTGAGTCATTTTGATGTGGCACGAAGTGGAAAATTTGTGGCGACGGCGTGCAAAAATGACCGAATAGTGAAGGTATGGCATTTAGGCGAGTTATCACCCCTTGAAGGCGCACCCAAGTGTATGTTTCTTGCGCACACTCGTGCTTTGGTGTCCATGATGTGGTCGAAGGACATGAATGTTTATAGCACGCGATCGGCTATCTACACCACAACACAGGGTTGTGAAATATTGTTTGCACTAGACCGGGAAGGTACCATATCAATTTGGAGAGTAAATGTCGTTCCGCTGAGGTCAATTATGCTGTGGAAACGCTTTACAGTTGCGGATGTTCGTCTGCCATTATCTTGTGAGATTGATGCAAATTGTAGAAGGCACATCCGAATTATTGGCTTAGTGAATCATTGTTGGACTCGAAGGACGTCGAATGTTTCAACTTCAATTAACGAAGCTTTGCTGGGTGAAAGCACCGCAATGGAAGCTCTTTGTCTATTTCATTTTGGATGTGGCTCACTTAATGAAGCACATCAGAATGGGTTGATAGGTCAGCGCTCGGATAGTGTTGCGAATATGAACATCAAGCTACTAGGAGATCACAGCGGTGTGGCGGCAGATACTATTTCAGGAGAAGAAGTTATTTTCGGAAACGTGGCTGTTGGGAGTACATTCGACGTACATTTGTTGTTTGGCGTCTTCGAAAACGGCGACTTTTGTATCATTCGCGTGGAGGCAGTTCCTTTTACGGTACGATGATCTTGATCGAGCTGCAATGTAAGCCGACTAACCTCATTGTGGATTGCTTGATATGCATGGATATGAGAGCAGGGTGCTTCGTCTAACTTATCGTTACTTCTCAATTATAGTAAACTTCGGGAACACCTACTTGATGCGCACGTGTACAGTGTCTGCTCAACTAAATGTCAAGGTATGTGCTGTAATTACCTGATATTGTGCAATAATTGATGCATATTTATTTTAGACTCAGAATTAAAGTCAGGAGGGTTTTGTATTGAGGTTTTGTTTCAACAGAAGAAAGCTACTAGTTATTTGCAGTGCGCAAGACTGGAAATTCAAGCCGAAAGTTGTGCCATGAACGCTCGCAGAGGACTTGCCTCCTTTTCCGTCCAAAGTTTTGAAATTCACACTGTTTGCAGTAACATGATAGGTAAACTGGGTGAGAAAAAAAACTTAGCAACTAATGGTTCAGTTGCCAATGTGAGATTAAGGTCCCACACTGATTCGGCCGCGTTGGCTGTTAATGTTCCTTTGACTAATCTGGGTGGAGCGCTTGCTATTTTTGACGCTAACGAGTCCTTACAGAAACTTCAAGTTGCTTTACGCTCAAAAATTGGTTTTTTCGTGGGTTCTGTCACGCACACAACTAAATTTGAAGGGCGAAAAGTGATTCATACTTTCATTAACGGAAAGTTGCATGTCCTAATGGTGAAGCCTAGTGAAACTAATGAAGAAATAAAAGCAGTTGAATGTGCGCCATTTGAACACCTGGGATCTCAGATGAGATCCTTGATGCTGGCAGCATGTTTTGTGGATGAAAACAGCAATTTAAATACTTTAAGTAAGCTCATTGCCGTGGATATTCCCGATTTTGTTAAAGCTAAGTGGTGCGATAGCTCATCATATTTGCTTCAACCAGCAAAACGCAGCTTTGCTAAAGATTATAGCATGCTTGTCGGTCTACACAAAGGTGAAAGCAAGCTTACGGTTTGGGTTTTCTCGTTCGATTTGATAAATCCCCCCACTGTCGATTTATCTAGAAAAACAGCGGTTAAAATACATGAAACCGAAGTTCTTGATGTTGCCAGTGTTCCAGCGTTTGGTATATTTCAGATCATATTTGCAACTTTTGACCAACATTCGCAGCTGGCTTTATGGACATTTGCAGACATGATTGAATTACTTGAGGTGAGACTTGTTCACAAAATCGACGTCGGTGTATTATTACAAATGGCGAATCGGGCTCAACGGTCTCACATGGAATCGACCGTCAGCAAACAAGAGTTTACATTTAAGCACTTCACCTTTAGCCTTTGTGGGAGAGTAGCGATCTTGTTCGAAGGACGTGGAAGTGAAGCTGTTGACAAAATTTGCTTCATACCTGCCTTAGAGACTATAATGGAAGGGGTCGTTAATCTTTCGCACAAGCAGTTTGGTCACGTGAAGACTTTGGAGTGGACGCCACAAATCATGCTTGAGCAAGAGTGCGATCTTCTTTTTTTGTCCACTACGACAATCGGTTTAATGAAGTTTGACTGCTCATTGCCAATGAATAAGTGGAGTATTGCTTGGACTCTCAATCGCTTTAGTGTTCGACCTGAAGATATATCATCACTTTCTGGCTACCCATATGGCCTTCTTCGTGTCGGGCCCAGTTTGGCGCATCTAAACCTTCAAGACTTTGACCATACAAGTTCGCTACAGCAACCAATCGGTCTTGACCCACTATCGAAGGCATTGCCCGCGCATCACCCGATTGTGCTGACGTATTTGGTCGCTCGTGGGTCCTTTCATACAATTCAGACTATTCTTGAGTTCGTCAAAAAGAAAATTATCGAGCATGAAGAAACCTGCTATTTAAGAATGACAGACGACTCATTGCTGCAGACTCTTCCTTTACTCTCATTGTCCCAGCTGCTTGAAGATATGTCGCACACGACTGAAGGCAAGGAAAATGAGCGACTGAACGTTAATCAGATAACGAAGAAAAGTTTGGAAAGAAATGGTGCCAGAAATTATGGTGCAGCCGTGCTGGCCCCAGCTAGAGCGAGTGACCACCTTACGATGAAGTTTGGGCCGTCTTGTCAGAATGGCGCTTGTTCAAAGGACACTGATCGTGCAGACTTGTTGTTCGCCACTCCGGCATCAACTTCAAGTGATTCACTTGCTACTGAAGAAGCTATATCAAAGTTCAAGCTGAATACGGACGAGTATTTATTCTTTTTTAGTCGGCACAAAAGCTCCTTGACATTTATGACAAAGGACGAATCGAATATGTTCTTTGCAGTCATTGCTAGCATTAAGAAGATTGTGAGCTGGGTGCATGACAACAGCCGACAGAAGGACGAAGCTGCAATTCGTTTTTATGCCTCGTTGATTTGGCCAGTTGATCCTATTGACGTATCTACTGAGCTGACCACTACATACTTAGAAACACCAGATCAGCAATCAACTGATGCTCGAACACTGAGGAACCGAGCTGTGTCTGGCCTTTGTTCGGAGCAAGTTGCCTGGGGAGCTTTAAGTGATTTTCAAACAGAGTTGCTCCAGGAATGCTTTTCTTCGGTAAAGCTGAGCTGGAATGAGATGCGGCGCTCTCGATTGCCGTTTTGGCTAAAAAGCTCCGCAAAGCTTGTTCACTTTGTGGAAAAAGTGGCACAAGCTGAATATGCAGCAAACCGGGACCCCTTTGTGGTTGCTGTGTTCTATGTTTTGTTAGGGAAAACCACGCTGCTGGCGACTCTTTTTAAATTGGCGAGCGAGACGCGAATCGCTGAGCTTTTAAGTAAAAACTTTACTGAAATGCGCTGGAAAAATGCGGCCTTAAAAAATGCCTACGTGTTGAAGACGAAGCAACGGTATGAGCTGTCTGCGGCCTTCTTTATTTTAGGTGGTAAACTTTCCGAAGCAGTATCGGTGGCTGGAAAGGCGGATGAATCATTAGTATTGTCATTTTTAATCGCTCGAATTTCGGCGAAATGGGACCTTGGAGGTCATTCGAGCTTCCCTGGGGCGGTCAAACCACTGATACCCTTTACAGGCGTGAACTCTAGCCTTCGAGAAACTAGTCAGTTCGAATTAAACTCTGGTAACCTGACTAGCGACGACGATTTCCAAAGGTCAGCCCATTTGTGCATGGACTTTCTTCGCACAACTGTTTGGGATAAAGCTTCCAAATGTGGAGATTTATACATGTGCTTTCTAGTCAAATACTATCTGGGGGAGTTTAGTAATGCTGTCAGCATGTTGGTGACCCCACCAGCTATTGAGATGCGAAGTATGTTTGACGGAGCAGGTGTCGCTCAACCTAACATGTATTGGTCAGCTTTTGGAAGAAGCTTACTAGGTGCATGCAATTTATTTCGCTTTCTTCGAAATTCTTCCATGCCGGTGAGACTGATCACGAAAAATAGTATTGTTCGGCTGAACGCTACAGCCATTATTCGTTTGCAAGATACGGGGTTTGAAGTGTGCGCACTACTTCACCAGCGTGATATGGCATCATTCATACGGGGCTTTCGAGAAGAAAGCGCGACATCTTTAGACGTAGCAGCTTTTATGGCATATCGCCAGCGCATATTGAATGCAGCAGTAGGAAGTCAAATGGAATTTTTGTATGCCACTTTTTTGAAGACAACACGCAAAGCCCTGATAACCCCGTCCAGCTCAGCGTCTGATATTGCACAATTTAATTTTGAGGACCGAGTGAACGAAGAAATTCAGAATGCTGTGTGCGGTGGAGGGGACTTTAATTTTCCGGGTTCACCAGAATTGACCCAAATATTGCAACACAAGATAAGAACCGCGGTTGTCGAGTCGCTTATTCATTCCGGTCGTCTTGTTGCATTAGATTTTTTGGTATGTGGGTGGAAGCAGCCTGGATTTTCAGCATCAGAATTTGGTTTTAAAAGCCCGCTGCCCCAATTGGTTGAGGTCATAGCCGAGGGAATTGCTACAGTGGCTTCAGGAGATCTCATCTCTGCGGCCACAGACCGTGTGCACACTAGAAAGGTAGACCAGACGTGTTCAATCTTGTTGACTTCAGCAACACGACTTTTGTTTTGGCTGCAATATTTGTATCTGAAACCGGCTAAGCAACGAGCGGCTTTTCCAAATCGTAACTTTGTTTACGTTGCTGTTGCAGCAGTTCACAGCGCTATCTGTATCTGCTGTCGTTATATAAAGACTGCTTGCTGTTTAAATCGTGTACTTGGCATTGTCTTTTCGCACAAAAGTGACATGTCTCTCAGCTCGCAGGAGGCACTGACTAATATCTTGAGCAGTGACAATTGTGTGAATTGCGCTTCTCTCAGCCGCTTCACAAACAAGTTTTCTGACGCCAGTTTTGCATCATCTTTTTCAGAGAGAATTCGTGTTTTATATGCGGCAGTATGTGCGTTAGAAGTCGAGCTGGACGAGTTTACCGCTGAAGTAAAAACAAGCAGACTTCATCATTCGATGCCCTCGCGCAGTTCATTGGATTCTTTTCTTTTGTACTGTCCGTATCGAGAGCTGGTTTTGATAATGGCGGCAGGCGAAATGCCAAATCATCTTTTGAAACTTGCGGCTGATGACATAGTTTCTACTTCTAATTTATCCATGAAACTAGTCGAAGCCTGGAAAAATTACAATCATCGACTCGCTGAATTTGCGCTGAAGCATTTATTGTGCGATTTGGCTGGCGTCTTATTCGGTCAGCCTTTGAATGCGACCTCTCTTACAAGTCCAAGATTTGCTTTGCCAGCTTCACCTAAAGAAACGGCTTCACCAAGTCGTAGTAGTGTCACGGACAGCCCTAGCGCTTTCATTGTTGATGCTCCCAATGCTTCTCCATCTCAACATCAAACTAGAATGCGGCAACTTCTTAAATGTGATTGTGAGCGCTGTCCTTGGGTTTTCCTCTTAGAGCGTTTCACTGACAAACACGAGCTTTTACTGCGTCTGAATGCTCATTTAGAGTGTTGCCGTGAAAAGTTACATGAAGAAGTGCGATGGGGACGGCTTCCGGAGCCAACAACCCGGAATATTATTTTAACGCGGTCACAAAAATTGCTTTTGTCATCTGTTACTGACTCTGCACCAACATTTTCACTTGCTAGCAAGTATGCAGACCATCTTAAGCGGCGAACAATGATGTCAATGCCCAGAAAAGTTGCTATACATGTTCAATGTGTGTATCGGAGCGAGACGACTATCAAAGGTATTTGCTTTAATCGAGCAGTCTGCGACGACGTGGGAGTAAGTGTCTGCGGTAGCAAAGGCATCTTTCGTGCTAGCTGTGTCGACTATGCTGATGGCTGTCGTTTACAGTTCAGGGGTGTGTACGCGCCTCCCCACAGCTCGGTCATTTCGGCAGAATACTTGCAAGTATCTCCGGTGAAAATAAACCATCGACATGAAGTGCAAAGTAACGTGCCTCCTTTGAACAATTATTTGACTGCTCGTAGCCCTCCATCGCCGCTTCGCAACTCGGCTCATTTGCTTGCATCTCCGTCAGAACCAGGATTTAAGCCCACTGCACTAGCTTCGCACCCATTCTTACCGTTATTCGTGTCGGGAGATCAAAAGGGTCGCGTGCATCTGTGGTCCTATGATCGTCTCAGTGCTGTGTGCGCGTTTCAGACAAAAGACACTGTTGCGGTATGTACTTTTCACCTGCAGTAGAATAGTCTCATTGCTTTACGTTGCTGTTTCGTAGCCGTCCTCAAAAAGTCCGTCAATGCTATCTGGTCGGCGAAGTGTAAAGGCACTAGGATTCGACAATCTTGGTCAGCAGGTACACCACATATTTGTCTATACAGCAAATTTTGATCAGTAACCCATGCCATTATCTCAGCTTGGTGCTGTGGATGCTATGGGACGCTTGTTTATGTGGAAATTTATTGAGCTAGATCGAGCTCCTTACTACTGCGAAATCGGGGTGAGTGGCACGACGCGGAAGGTTTGAATTAAACAATGGTCTTTACTCTTTATTATACGCTCTGGGTGTACTTAGTGTCATGATAAGGGCGCCAAAGGGCTTGTCTTTCTCAATTCAAGTAGTAGTCTGGCTACTGTCGGAACATCATCTGAGTACGCTAAGTTGGACTCGATTTTTTTGTGAATCTAATGCTGAACTTTTGTTTTTTTAAAGAAAGAGAACTGTATGCGTGTGGGATACGCTTTTGCCGACGTCAAAAGCTCTTATTGCAGCACCGGTGTGTCATACGGCGGGAGCTACTGCAGTCGCATTTTCATCGACCTATCAACTGCTTATTACAGGGGGCGCCGGTGGTGCATTAAGCATTTTTGACATGAGGCAGCGTCGTGTTTTGCATACGATTTCAAACGCTCACGAAACACCGATTAAGACGATTGTGCTGCACCCAGGAAGCGACTGTGTACTTTCGGGCTCTGCTGGGGGTGACGTCAAAATCTGGTCTTTGCCTCTTTTCCGAGAAGTTGCTTTCCTTGGCAAGGTGCATGTCAAATCCTCCTTTTTAAGCGATGCTGCGACAAATTTCTTGAGTGATGCTGCATCAAACGTGGCAATTAACGTGGTATGTACCTCCGCTATTCACTTATATTTAAGCTTATGAGCAGCGATGTTTCGTGTGTAAATCAACAGACAAACTCTTCTTGGGGCGTTACATACGCCGTCGCAACAGAAGATGCATTTTTTACGAGCGGCACGGATGGCTCAGTTCAGCGACTTACAATACCGTCGTTGTGGACCCGCCCTAAATACTAATAGACAACATCATTCAGATGTCGTTCTTATTGAAAGGTCCCTTCCTAAGAGTCGCGATCCTTTTTGACATAAGCCATTTACAAGCAAAAGATGGGACCGAAGAAGCCACAAATTGGCACCACTGGACGAAGGAAGACAGATAATCATTCGAAAGGCCACACGTTACCAAATGGGGATGGTTACGACAAAGGAATACGGAGTGGCACGGCAGGACCCGGCCTAGGTGTAGGAGGGGTCGGTAGTGGAGCCGCGGGCGGCTCTCTTGCAAACGCCGGACAGGATAAAGAAGAGTTGGATGCGTATAATGAGCCGGCAAGTTGCTTTTATTTCTAATACATTTATGACGATTGCGAAGCTGACGGTTCCTGCTGTATTTGGTAGGTAAAAAAAGTAGTGGTACCCGAAAATCAATTGAAACTCTCGCCGCAAGAGCTGTCTGAAGAATTTTCGCGGGTGCTCACAGCGAATGATCCAAATGTGCCTAATAATATCTCGAAGTATAATTACAAGGAGCGAACCTACAAGGTAGATCCGCCTGGACCAGGAGATCATTTACACATGCATTTCTGCTACGACGGTAGCATGATGCACAAAGAGTCAGAAGATGCGAAAACTCAAACGGCTTTTGACCAAAAGTATGCTGAGGAAGAAAAAGAAGCGCATGAGCTGGGCGTTCAACTGGCAAAGGAAGAAGCGGAGGCGAAAGGGGAAAAATTCAATATGGCTGCTTTGTCCTTTGAGTCAGGCAAGAATCAGTTTAACTACAGCGAGCGTGCAGCGCAGACATTTACTAATCCGTTGCGAATACGTACCGTTGAGACTACCCCGCCACCCATCGTGAGCTATATGGCCACTGTAACACAGTTTGAGATTTATGATACTTTTATGGAGGCTTACGAGCAGCATCAACGCGAACAACTTCAGCTTCAAAAAGTAGGTCAAAGAAAGGATAAAGACGAGAAAGATGGTGCAGGTGCGACTGCAGGAGGAGACCTATCATCGGCTGTCTCTACAACGTCAGCTGGAACAACTGTTCCAAATGGTGGGGGAATAGGCAAAAGCAATGACATGGTACACTCGTTTGCGATGGGAAAGACGTTACGCATTATCGAGCGCATGGTGAATCAAAATACTGATGATGAAATTTTCAGTGACCTTAAGTATTGGGAGGACGCCAGTGACCAGTTTCGCGAAGGAGAAGGTTCATTGTTGCCGTTATGGCGATTCTCGAGCGATCGAGCCAAAAAGAGGCAAGTGACAGCAGTGTGCTGGAACCCGCGCTTTGGCGATCTTTTTGCCGTTGGCTTCGGCTCGTACGACTTCTTAAAACAAGACAGTGGTGTTCTATGTTGTTTCTCTCTCAAAAATGCGTCTCATCCTGAGTATACCTTCATTACAGAGTCAGGAGTCATGTGTCTCGACTTTCACCCTCAACATGCTGCCTTGCTTGCCGTTGGGTGTTATGATGGCACCGTACTTGTTTACGATGTTCGCAGTAAGACAAACCGGCCGATTTATGTGGCTACAATCAAGACAGGCAAACACATGGACCCTGTATGGCAAGTGATATGGCAGGAGGAAGACCTCGCTAAAGAGCTTAATTTTTATTCGATATCATCGGATGGACGAGTCGCTAATTGGATACTGAGCAAAAATGAGCTAAAAATGGAGCCTGTAATGCAGCTAAAGCTGGTAGCCGCTGCAAAAGATGACCCCGAAGATGCTTCAATATCTGGACTTGCTGGTGGATGCTGCTTTGATTTTAACCGTTTCAGCGAGCACATTTTTATCATCGGCACGGAGGAAGGCAAGGTTCATAAGTGCTCAAAAGCCTATTCTGGACAATATCTCGAGACTTACACAGGTCATCACATGGCAGTATACGCTGTGCGTTGGAACCCTTTCCATGAGCGAGCTTTTCTGTCGTGTAGTGCCGATTGGACCGTAAAGCTATGGGATCACAGTCTTTCTGAGCCGATCATGTCTTTTGACTTGGGAAATGCTGTCGGCGACGTCGCTTGGGCACCGTACTCGTCTACCGTATTCGCAGCTGTTACAAGCGAAGGGAAAGTTTATGTGTTTGACCTGGCGGAAAACAAGAATGAGCCGTTGTGTGAGCAGAAGATTGTAAAGCGTGCAAAACTCACGCACGTGGCTTTCGGTTCCCGTGATCCACTGATACTTGTCGGAGACGACCGCGGTGGGGTAAATTCGCTGAAGCTTTCGCCCAATTTGCGCAAATTTGTTAGCTCTGTAGGTGAAGACAGTGCATCTGATGTTAGTGGGGCATCAACATTCAATGTAGATGCAAGCATTTCAAGTTTCACAAAGGCGCGCCTTGAGAAGGAGTTCGAGAAGATCGACAAGTTGCTTGACGCAAATGACGACCAAGTGGAGCAGTAAAGTGCCAATCTGATTAGTGCGTACATACTTAATAAAGCTGTGTAATTCATTTGATAATCAAAACCTTTGCGCTGCTAATTGATGACCACATTCGCAATTCTACTATTTTGTGGGTGTTTGCTTTGCTTTGCAATCGCAATATTATCGTACTTAAAGAGCATGTTGGTATGGTCGTATCCCGTACGGTCGCGAACACAGCGGTCCAGTCTAGGGACATGCAGATGAAGTACATCATCTAAAAATGTCTTGTGCAACGCATCTATAGCAGGAAATTCCTCGAGTGGCGTGGATGACAAAGCTAGCTCCAAACCAGGCCGAACAGAATTCCATTGCGTCATAATGTCGTCATGTGAACGGTCAGATTTGCAGAGTAAAGGCCTATAAACCCGGCGGAATGTTTGCGGCAACCATTTCAGCACGCTCTCACGCTTACGCTTCAAGTTTATAACTGACGCCTTCCATAGCGCAAGGTTTGAGGCGCAAGACGAAAATAGGATCTTCAAGAACGTGTTTAATTTAAACAAAGACTTAGATCGCGCAACTTGCATGGACCAATTATTTTCCCATCTTGTACGGTCAGCACCACAGTTCTCAACGGAGGTTGCACCTGAAGATACAGATGAAGACGATGGAGATACTGACAGCATCATCGCTTTACCCGACAAGTTTTCCGAGGGGACCCCTAATCTCACCGTGCGAATCAAATATAGTGCAATAAAGCCTACACTTGACACAATTACCGCAATTTGCGCGCGTTTCCAGAAAAAGAGTAGGTCCAAGTACTCCTTCTTGCAAGAATCAACCAAAGTCATGTGCATTTTGAGTCTCAACCCCGTTGCGTTGAGCAGATTCAAAACATTTTCTGTAGCGCGATCAGGCGCCCGCTCTACTTCACAAATCACTTCACCACGGATCCCATCAAATTCATGCTCCAGCATTTTAGACAAATCGAGTTGCAACCGTCCACTTTCTTGTACTGGCAGACTTTCTCGCTTATCTCGTGGGACATACATAGTGTAAATTGATGGCAGATCCTTGCGTCCAATGATTTTGCTCAAATTCCAGCACAACGCTCCGTACGCGCGCGCAAAGTCGTGTACAGTCTGAAAGTCGTCTACCTTATTGAGAATCAGTAAAACTTTGCTACTCATATCCTGCAGACAACTGGTAAGCACGTCCAGTGTCTCAAACGTCGTACCAGGTTTGTCCGGGTCAAACATGACAAGGATCACGTCAGCGCGGTACGCGAACCACTGCACTACCTGTTTGAAGTCATACCCCCGATCCTTGTCCGTGCGATCCAAGAGCTTGCCGGGCGGGTCGATCATGCCTGGCGAATCCACTATCATAAGCCCACTATCATCCAATAGCTTGCTTCTAGCGACTACTTTAAGCTCCACCTGGGACACGAACTCATGGCCGAAAAGACGCTCCACATCTCCAAAACCGAAGTGTGCATGTCTGACAAGCGCCGCGCCATCAAGCCGCTCGTCTCTTGAACCACCTACTAATATCGTGAAGATGCAGTCTGTTGGCGCACGTCCGGTCTTTTGCACGTTTTGACCCAACATGTAATTGATGAAGGTGCTTTTGCCCGACGAATGATTGCCCAGCACCAATACCATGGGCACGTTCACGGGTGCGAAGGATGGGAAGCGCATCTGCGCACGAAGTATCTCTAGCCCTGAATATAGTAAATTTACATCTCTTTGGATCATACGATAAATGTCTCCCGATACGCGAACCTCGCGCACTGCCGCGCCACTTGAGCCCACCATGATGTTTGGTTGGCGACGCTAAGCACCTTTTAATCTCAAAATTCTCAAAAAATGCACTCTTGAATTTGCTTTTCGACTTCAACTAAATGTTTGCCGTAACATTGCGAGCCTTGATAATAAGCTGGTTGCAACGACAGGATTTGGTGCAGCAAGGCATTGATTTAGCAGGTACAGGATTGTGACACTATCTTGAAGACAGCTTTTGCTCGGAAGGCACACATGAATTAGCTGCAGCGGACTCTTCTAGTGGAGGGCAGTTTTCGCAATATACTGAACGGAATTAAATTGTTTATTAAAGGAGAAATGAGGTTCTGTTGTAGAGGCTCAGCATATCTTACAAAAATGACAGGTAGTCTAAGAGACCGTCAAACTGGGCATATTGCTCTCACTCATTGATTTTGCGTTGATAACCGCAGTGCACAGCTTGAAGGCTTTGCTTGTTGTCGATGAATGGTTGGTTAGTAAAAGTCCCCATTGTATTTGACACCGCTAAGGGTAGATTTGGTCTTGGTATAAAGGGGCTATTGGTACAACTCGCTGCCTCCAAGAGTACTGAAAACCTTAACCAAGGTAAAGGGACTCTTCCGCTCAAAATGGATACTGTTTTATTTGCGGCAGATCTAAAATTGTTAGGTTTTCCTAATTGAAATAGTATTACCTAACTAATATAGTTCAACCTGATTAATATAGTAATATGCATCGCTACTGGCAATCCTGCGCATGTGGTGGCTTCTTGTAACGGTGTAGCCACACCACTGTATACCAAATTGTGTAATCCACACCTATGTCATGGAACACCATCTTGTGCGACCCGCCCTTTCATACAAGATTACGTGTAACCCCGTTAGACTCTCCCCCATTAAAATTGTGAATATCCCTAATTCACATTTAACAGTCGCCTCATACGAGGCTAGCGTGTCTGAGACACCTTCATGTTCTTAAGAACAACTTTAAACATTCTCCGCTCTATGAGCCCTGTGTCTACGACACGCAAAGCACCCAGCCTAGCTGGTTCCGAGAGCGCCCGCGAGCAAAGCCCTTCTTCTTCTGCACAGGGTGCATCTCCGGACAGTACGTCCGCGGCTTCACGGGTAACACATCCCAAGCTATCAGCAACTGAGCGCAACACACGGTTCCTCGTCAAAGAGTTGGAGGAGATGGACTACGAGTCGGGTACTCCTTTCCCAGCATGGGAACACGTGGAGGATGAAGTGCGCCAACGGCGCGACGTGAGCCCAGCCAAACCTTGCAGACACCGTGTCCGATCCCCTACCACCGGATGCTGTTCACTTTTTGCAAAACGCTCGGCTTCCAAGGCAGTGATATTCTTACCAAGCGCCTCGACAAGGCACAGAAGCAGCAACTATAGGCTGCTCACAGGGCGGCTCTCCCTACGCTCGTATCCACGTTCGGTCTTAGACCCTCGTGTGGAATACGGCTTCCGCTCGGCGGGTCCCGCTACTGAAACGAAAGACGCGATCACTCGATTGCTAGGAGTCTACGTAGTCGTACCCCCGGCTACTACACAAGCTGAGCTTGTTCAGTGGAAAGCTCTGCGAGCTCGCTTTTTGGTACCCCAAGAGAAAGTAATGGATTGGTACTGCGCCCGACTTCGAGCTCAAAACGGAGGCGCTCCTGTATCTGCGATGCGGACCATTCCTGTGGTGCTCGCCCCTGGCGGAACCGCTGCAGATAATGGAGAGCTCTTCGAGCAATGGGTGCAGCGGCACCGGAAGCTTTCCTTGCTGCCTACCGTACAGCGAAGCCACAAGGAAGTGGACGTGCGCGTAGAGAGCCATCCTAGATTTGAGTTTGCCAAGCTCAAGGCGCAACGCCGACTTCCTGCGTATTGTCGCCCTGCGACATATGGAACGATCCGTCGCGCTCTCGCGAGCTCTGTGATTTCTCACGCGGGTGGGTCTACGACCACAGCAGCTCAGGACCATAGCTTGAGCTCAGCTCATGGCCTTCCGGCTTCCCGAGCTAAACGCAGTGCGCACGACGACGCGAAGCGTCATGATCCTTCTGATCATAAGCGTCCACGACGTCTGGGAAGTCTTGTCGAAGTGGCACCTCAAACTTCCACGAATTCTCGGAGTTTGGGTATCTTCGCCACTTCACAAGATACTGGGTTCGACCCTGTCGACGACATCGACCCACAAGTAGTTCCACGTGGTATTGGGGAAGAGTCGACGGCGGACGATGACGACTTAGTCGATCACCGTCCGGTGACTCGTGATGCTCTTAGAGCGTTGGAGGACAAAATCCGTCGTCATCGGCACTCTGCCGAGCATCTCTCCAAGACTTCTTCCGCTGCGCGGAAGACCTCGGAGCACTTTGTGCACCGACTGCCTCACGTTGAAAATTCCGTGCTCTTTCGGAGCGGCTTCTCGCCGTCGAGCAGGTGAATACGTCACTTCATGCGACGGTGCAGCGCCTTGCGCCGTTGGAAACGAAAATTGTTGCACTCCGTGCTCAGAGCCAGTTGCTGGTTCAGCTTCGGGGTTGTTGAGCGTCTTTGGGCGCAGCCTTGGTGCCAACGCTTCCGCGTGTTTTATGTGGGCTTGCTTAAGCTGTACCGGGATCCGGCGTTTTACTTCCGCCGAATCCCAGTACGGCTTAAGCAAGCCCACATAAAACACCGGGTGGGTGCGCATCCATCTCGGAAGTTTCAGCGTATACGCTAGACCTCGCTTGGCCACGATCTTAAAAGGTCCAACGGACTGTGGACAGAGGTTCGTCTTCAAGACAGCAAAACTACATGTGTAGGAAGGTTTTCAGCGTTCAGTAAAACCAGATCTCCGACCTCAATCTTTTATGCACTTCTTCTTCCTTTTCCGTCTGCATATTCCTTTTGCATGTCTTGGCTTTCAGCCATCGCATCGCGAACGGTCGTAAGACACTCAGTTTGGTAGACAGGAAGTCATCGACTTCTTTCCGGGCAGTGATGGGGCTGACATCAGCTAGCCGTTCGGCTATTCCTCCCATACCAAGCATTGAGCCATGGGATGGTGGCGTCAGCGGGACGCAACAATTAGTCCAATCACATAGAGCGGCATGTAGCCGGTAGATGAATACACTGCAATGTTCAGAGCAAGCTCAACGAGTGGCAGCATTGCGCTTCAGCGCTTCGGAGACTCAGCGCAGACGCTGCGAAGAACGTCTTTAACAACGCGATTCACGATCTCAGTTTGACCGTCGGTCTGCGGATGGTCCGCTGTTGACATAGTCAACTTGGTGCCCAGCACCTTGAAGA